ACCTCCAACCCTGATCAAACTCACGTGCATGTAGCTTTCTACTCATCCAGAAGTCATTGATTAGCTGGCTCAGATGTGTTTGATCAGAGCTGGAGCTAAACACTGCAGGAAAGTGGACCTGGAGGGCCAGAGTTGTGAACCCCTGTCTTAATGGGATATAAATTACACATTATCATGCCTTATTTAACAAGAACAGAGACCTGAAAGGGAATCAAAAGAACCTGAAACAGAGACAAATCTTACACTGTCGGGACAGAGGATGGTCAAATCCAAATAAGTCTTTTGAAAACATGTTAGTTTTTCTGTAATTGAATTACAATTATTTTTGATGTAATTGCATTAAATTCTGTATAGACCATAGAATAATTCGGCATAACACAATAGTGGATAAAACATCAAAATGTGACACATATAATGTTAAAATGTTTAATAAAATAACCTTCTCCCTTTAAATACTTCAGTCAGTTCAAGAGTAATTTCATGCATTTTTATATTATTTAGCCTATTTGAAAGAATTAAAAGAGCAGTTTCATGTCTATCCTTGTATTGTTCAACTGGTCGAGGTTGATGTGAAATTTAGAAAGTACTTAGTAATAAGTAATGCAATACTTTTTAGAGAGAGTAATTAGTACAGTAATCTAATTATAATGTTGAAGATGTAATTAGTATCTAGTAATTAATTACTTTTTTTTAAGAGTATCTTACTAAACACTGTTACTGATCGGATTAACCTGTGAGAAATACTTTAAACTGAAGCATTTGAACAGAAATGAAAAATAACAAAAGGAGAATTTTGAATCTGTTCATTATTACTGTGAAAGAAATTTAAATCGTTCTTAAGACTGTAATTTTGTGCATAAAGTTTCAATGTTTGCATGGTATTTAGTCGTTCTGTGATTAGTTATAACAACTTGTTTGTTCACATCGTTTACATCAGTATATTTGCAGTCTATCCAGTAGATGTCAGCAGAGACAGGTGAATTAAAAAAAAATCTTCAATGGTACAAGACATATTACACTATATTCTTTCTCTGCTTCCTTGTGAGTGTTTTCTGCTACTCGCCTTCTCTCTGGCCACTTGCCTTCCTTTATGCAAAGAAAATATATTTCCTCATATTTTCCTCAATCAATATATCAAATTACTTAATGTACATTGAAAATATAGTGAACAATATATTGTGTTAACATATTACAATATATTGAATAATGCATAAGGAAATGCCACATTTCATATATTGAAAAATATGTGACAATGTATTTACTTATTTTAATGTATGCAATTGTATATTCAATAATACACTTTCTTCAATGGTACAAGACATATTACATATTACACTATATTCTTTCTCTGCTTCCTTGTGAGTGTTTTCTGCTACTCGCCTTCTCTCTGGCCACTTGCCTTCCTTTATGCAAAGAAAATATATTTCCTCATATTTTCCTCAATCAATATATCAAATTACTTAATGTACATTGAAAATATAGTGAACAATATATTGTGTTAATATATTACAATATATTGAATAATGCATAAGGAAATGCCACATTTCATATATTGAAAAATATGTGACAATGTATTTACTTATTTTAATGTATGCAATTGTATATTCAATAATACACTTCATAATATATTGATTTACATGAAATGTGGTACTGGGTGTATTAACATGTATCATTTAACATATAATATATGAGCATATATGTGCAAGAAAATATATATTGTGATATATTGTAACACACAAAATAAAGTGAAATAAATTATTATGAGTATGTGTTCAGCTTTATGCAAACCCATGCGTTGTCATTGGTTACATATGGTAACCCTAGTTCCTTGATGGAGGGAATGGAGACATTGTGTCCGACACTGTGTCCGACACTCGTTTTGTTCTGAGGAGTCGAAAAAGCATCTCAACCCACTCAGAAGCAGTTCAGAGTTGTGGCATAATCAGTCCATTAAGGTTTAAATGTCAAATCTCATTTTCCACCCAGCATCTTTTTTTTCCAGTAAACATTTTTTTTCTTACATACCATCACACGTTTTATATATGAAATGTGTAACTATGCAAAAAATAAAGTGAAATAAATTATTATGAGTATGTGTTCAGCTTTATGCAAACCCATGCGTTGTCATTGGTTACATATGGTAACCCTAGTTCCTTGATGGAGGGAATGGAGACATTGTGTCCGACACTAGGGGTCCCACTTGGGAGCCCAGACACCTCTGACATCATTGAGAAAAGGCCAATGAAAATGGAGAGCAATATTTGCATAGCTGGCCACGCCCCGGATATCCGAGTATAAATAGGCCTGCATGGCATTTGCGCACTCGTTTTGTTCTGAGGAGTCGAAAAAGCATCTCAACCCACTCAGAAGCAGTTCAGAGTTGTGGCATAAAGGACACAATGTCTCTGTTCTCTCCATTAGGGAACGAGGGTTACCATACGTAACCGAGATGTTCCCTTTCAGTAGGTCACTTTGACGTAGTGTCGAATTTCCAACACTAGGGGTCCCTATACTAAACGCATCAGCTGCTGAAATGCATTACGAGTTCAAGGGGGCACAGATGCTGACAAGCCCAGCGTGTCACAACCAAATGCACCTCTCCTCCTCATAACCTTCCAATTTATGACCTCACTCTCCAACATCTGGGAGAGCTGCCATATAAGGCAGAGGTCACCTCAGTTGGAGCCTTTTCTCATATGAGAAAAAAAAGTAAAATAGTGGCTGAAAAGTCTTGGTTGTTAATGTTGGGGAAGCGTTCATTTCCCTGAGTGGGGAAAGAACACTACAGAGACAACATTCTACCCAAAAGGGAGGTAACATGTGGAGATACAACCTATTGACTCACTAAAAGGGAGTAAGTACTACATAGGGAAGGTTTCTGTGGTGAGCTCTGCATAAGGGGAGAACTATCAAGCACAGAACCAGGCAACAGACAGCTGTCTGTCTAGGGAAAACACTGAGTCCTTATTAGGAACAGGGCAGTGGATTAATATGCATATGGAACCACCGTAGGGAGTCAATACATATGGAGAACCAACCCATTATGAGAGTTCACTCGAGGGATACTTACAAGTAATGAGTTCTTGCAGTGAGTTTCTCCGCCAAACTCAGCTATGCAAGAGTGCTTGAATGATGTAAAGACAGTCCAATGTTCATAAAAGAGCACACATTATCACCTCAGAGAGAGGAAGGGCGCTATAAGCAAGCTCTACACCTTACTAGTTATCCTGAATCCAGGATGAACTGGCTTACACTTGCAGATATGGAACCCAGCGAATGTATAGATGTAGCCCAGGCTGGAGCACTAAACCTGTCTGCTAATGAGGCACCACGTGCTATGGCAGAAGAAGCAGCCATGCCCCTGGTCGAGTGCCGTGCCCTCACTCCCAGTGGGCCAGGTAAGCCTTTGGCTTGATAAGCCATGGAAATCTTATCCACAGTCTAGTGGGAGATTTCCCGTTTGGAGACAACGTTCCCCTTCCGATGTCTTCCAGGCAGACAAGGAGCTGTTCAGACATTCTGAAACTCTGTGTGCACTATAATGGACGCATAGGGCTCGCAGGCCAGGCTTCCTTCCTTGAAAGGAATAGCTTGCAGGGTCACCACTTGGTCCATAAGGGAAGTAGTGGCAATCTTTAGCACATATCCAGGCCAGGGTCTCAGAATAATGTGGGTTTGCAGGCCTGAATTCTAGGCATGGTTCGTAAACAGAGAGGGCTTAGATTTTTCATCCTCTCAGTGAACTGACTTGAAGGCGCAGTCTAGGAGGATTCAACCTCTGCGCACCTCATAAGAACCTAATAATCAGATTGTGCTTCCCCACCGATCTGCCATTCACATATCCGTGGCTCACCACGTACATCTTGAGTGTAAATGCAAAAGGGTGTCTGTCCAGGCCCTCTAGGAGCAAGGCCAAATCGTGCCTTGCAATGAGACTCACTGGGGAAGAGGCATACTTGCGTAAGCCCCCAGGCCAGCTGTGTGCCTGTGCGTACGTGCCAAGGGAGGCCTCAGACAGGAATACATAATGGGCAAAGGGAGGAATCCCATGAGGCAACAGATGTGTCTGTGGCTGGCAGAATCACTCCAATCAGCTGGACCATCACCCAGAATGTGAGTGGCTTGCAGAAACCTAAGTTCTTGCTGGCTCCAGGAGGAGATGATGGGCGAGTTGTGGCATACGACGGGAGCGACTACCCCCGGTGGCTGCCATCACTGTGCTGTCCGTATGGACTAGTACGCGCTTGTCCTGAATTAACAGTTGAGACCTCCCCAAGAAAAAGCACTGCTGACAACTTTCGAACAATCGAATGCCCATGCACACTGGAACCGAACAGATCCCTAAGGCTGCACACCCGTTGCATGAAGCACCTCAACCTATCCTGGAAGCATCCATTGTTAGAACGGTGCTTTTGGACACTGATATAGAAGAAACAGTGTAGAAACAGAGGTCCTTCTAAGGATTGGAATGGGACAGCACCTCATGTGAAAGCCATGGGGTGCAAGCGACGGCGCCATGCTCATCTCAGATCTCGGTCATACAGGCAGTGCTGAAGCGGTCTTATAAGCATCTTCTGGTAGCATGATATGGCCAAGGATGCCATCCCCAGGAGCCTCTGAATAATTCAAGAGGAACCGCTATTCTGTGCTTGGGACCCCCAACCCTCAACTTTTCCGCCTGAAGGACAGCAACATTCTCCCCTCGAACCGGGGTAACAAAATGCCACTGAACTTTGGCAGACGCCTAGCGAACTGAATCGCATAGCCGAGCCGAATGGCCCTGAGGAGCCAATGGGAAGGCCTGGGGAGTCCAGACACCGTGCCAGTGGTCACAGTGGGACTGTGTTAGACTTACCTGAGGCAGGATGCCTGCAGCGTTGGACATCGCCCTCCCCAGAGCCTGCAGTGTGACCTCCGTAGCCCGGAGGGCATAGTCAGTTGCCGAATGCAGTTCCTGCATGCTCCAGGTTGGGACCACCCTCGTGCAGGGACAAAGTAACTTATGTGCTCTGGATGGGAATCTTGGGTGGCGGCGTCTTGCGCTTAAAATGCACTGCAATTGCTTTCTCCAACTGGCTCAGAGTGACACACAGCACCCAGAAGTGCCGGTTCAGTAGAGTCATCCACTTTCGATCGGTCAGACCATCCTCTGATGCTGTAATAGACAAACCATCCTCATCGCGAGCTCCAAATGAGAGCTCGAATCCGCGCTGAGGCTGGTTCTCAAACTCACTCAGAAACTCTACTGGAGAACATGTGCGGTTGGAGGAACAGGAGGTCGAGAGGTCCGGCGAAACTGCTCTTCCTGATCTCCATACACCAACAGAGTTCACAGGGTACATTTACATGACAATGACTGTACTAAAAATGGAAATGTTTTTCCTTTGCGTTTTTGAAAATGTTCACATGCATATGACAACGTTGTCAAAAAGATCCCTGTTCACACCAATCCAACTAAAAAAACAACTAAAAACCACTGTATTATGCATGCCAGGCCGGTAGATGGTGATGTCACATGTAAAGAAACACAGTAAAGTAAAGAAACACTATTCACTTGTGCACATACTGTACCTGTTGACTCAACATGTAGTACATGCATATGACGTCACCATTTTCCCATGGAGACGGTATTGTTTTCAAAAACTTGTACTTTGAAACCTGTTTTTAAAAGTTTGCATTTTCAGACCCCCAGAATAGCATTGTCAAATAAATTAATAGCCAAAATGCATAAAAATATTTAGTTGAAAATGCTGTTGTGTTAACACGCCCCCCCACTCTCACTCTCTCCAGGAGATGATTCATCAAAATCACTAACGTCTGATTTTGCCTTGACATAACTACATCTGACATGTTTGAAGGTCATCTCCTCCAAACTCATCCACAACTGCAACAGTCATAGCAGTGTCTAGAGATTTTTTACGCACTTTATCTATAATGGATTCAGACATTGCTCCATCTAATTCCTGCATTTTCTCACTCCATGTTTATCTTTAGGCCTTCCTCACCAAATAAGTCTAAATTTGTTGGTTTGGAAGAGTCAAATGTCAGTGTCACAAGAGTCTGATGGCTGTGAGATGAATAGTACAGAGGATGGACCATAGATGCGCCCTGCTGCTTTTGAAAACTGGCTTTTGAAAAATTATATCTCTAATGTTGTTATTCTTTCTCTTCTCTCCCTCAGGTAGTACTGTAACTGCTTTTCTAAGTTAAAATGAACACACTCCATCCTTGACTTCACAACTGTTTTGATATGTCTTGGAGTTTGCAGTAAAGGGGTGCCGGAAGAGATCAGGAAGTGGTGTTGAATGGCCAGTGTTTAACCTCTCAAAAATCCTTTATCGACAGATAAATGTAGACCTTAAAGGAATAGCTTGCCCAAAAACAAAAAATGCTGTCAATTACTGTTATTCCAAAGGTTTTTTTTTGTTTCAGTGTCCAATTGCATTTTATGACGACTGTGGGTGTAGTAGTTTGCTATAAATGTGGACATTTTGATTTAAAAGTAGTTTAAAATGTCCATCTGACTCAGAGGACAATAATCAGCTAAAAGTCACAGATTTAATCCAATGGCCTGTCATCAAGAAAGCTTTTATTAAATGTCTCCAATGAAACATATGCTAAAACTCAAATGTCTTTTTAAGTTCAGACTCCATGTCAGCATAGTGTGGGAATACAAATATAAGAATCTGAATCTTAACTATCCTTTCCAGTATACTCACCTCTCTCACCGTTCCTCGGACTAGGCTGATTAGTTAAGGATAAGAATTTCGGTAGTGTGAACAATCTCTCTCTCTGGAATATCCCTTATCTATCTCAGGCATAAACCTTGATCATGGAAAGTCATGAATACTCTCCCATGAGCTTTATTTCCTCTCCGATAGCTTTCTTGCAGTTTCTACCTCATAGTCATCACTCAGAAAATAAAAAAAGAATATATCTTCAAATTTGCCCCACGTCTGGACATTCTCCTTTCTGCTATCCAACAGTCATTTGCAGTGCCTTTCAGTATCTGAAGTAAGGGAAGAAACAGTATAGTAGTACTTCCAAATCATAGAGGCTTAATGGCCAAATATTCCTCACACCGTTTCTACCTCATAGTCATCACTCAGAAAATAAAAAAAGAATATATCTTCAAATTTGCCCCACGTCTGGACATTCTCCTTTCTGCTATCCAACAGTCATTTGCAGTGCCTTTCAGTATCTGAAGTGTAGGGTAAACAGTGATAATTTAATAATTTAGCTCAAAGGGAATCATTTAAGATTTTAAAGGGAACTCCACCATTGATATGCAAGGGAATTTGGACAGAATCACTGTTTTACGGCTGATCACTGAGACGGCCAGCGAGCCAGTGAACGAGCCGTATGACAGCAATTCTGCAATGGATATAGGGTGCATCCTCAGGTGGAGTTGAGGATTTGGTGAAAGTGTTTGATGAAGCACATGTAGACATAAGGCTCAAGAATACTTAATTTTCCACTTTCCACTCCATCTATTGCACAGTTGAGCGTGCAAGCCTTTTTAAAGTACACTCCACCTTGCAAGGCAGACCTTTCTTTTCTAGCTCTCAAATGACTCGCATTCATTGCTGTCTGCGTGGACATCAGCTGATGACAAAGATCCTGCAGACTGTCCTCAAGCTGGAAAGAAATGTGGACAAATAGTTGCATCAGATGAATAAACATTGTCTGCTTGTGTTCTCCCTGAAATTCCAAGCTCCCCACAGCGGGGTTGAAGCTCTGACCTAAATGGCTTATGTTGGAGTGCCATATGTTTTCTTGGCATTTCACCCTTAGCTTCTAGGTGCTGTGAAAAAGGGTTTAACTGATCCCTCAAAAAATTGGCACATTTCCATTTGGAATTCTGAGGTTTTCAGTAATAGGTATAGTTTCCAAACTACCAGCTTCTGATACAGTGTCTCATTCCTTCATTCCTTTTTACGCCTCTTATAGTATTCAAAACTTTCTGTATCAGAAAGTTCAGATGTATCATGGCCCCAGTCATCTCCTGAATCAGGTTTGAGGTCAAATTTATCATTGTTCTGCAAATTGTCGCAGGTGCAATACAGTCATTTCAATAGGAATCCACACAATTTGGAATTTTTCATGAGGGTTTCACAGATTTCGCAACTAGTTCAATTTGGTCTTGTGAACTAGCCACATTAACAAACAGAAAACTGCTTGGTTTTAAAGTGACATCTGTGTGAGATGTTCTTCATACATCGCAACCCTACTGATAACAGAAAATTGACCTTTTTTAGCCAAGAAATTTTCACTAATGTGACCACATTTTTACAAGGCAAAATCAGCAAAACATATAATCCATTTGCTCCATTTCAGAGCTGGACATGGGTTTCTTTAAGAGACACTTGTTACTATGCTAACTCAACCGAAATGGCAGTTTAGTACAAAAATCATTTCAATGTATGCTTTAAGAAAAGTCAATATAAAATAAAGACAGAAGCCTTTTTTTCGCCTTAATGAATATCCTGTTTTGCTCTAAAATACATCAAATTTGGATATTAAAATGGGTTACATGTTGACTTTAAAGTTTTGCTAAAACATAAAAAAATAACAATACAAATAACTAGCAACAGTTTATTTATATTGCAAGTAATTCATCAGGCAAGCTATGAACAGATCTTAAGTTATTTTTCACATACTTCTAACAAAACTGTTTTGCTGCTTAATGGCCAAATATTCCTCACACCACTCAGTAAAAGAAACCGGGCCGTCCTCTTTCACAACGCAAAAATGCAGGAACACTACTTTCACAGGTAGGCCTTGGATAAGGACGTTTGACTTGGTTGTACATGATAGGTTTTTCCTCCTAAGTTGGTGCAAAGAGAAAAAGAGGATGCACTGGGGTCGACATCAGAGTTTCAAATTGTTTATCTGGAAATAAACAATATACTACAGATTTCCCCAAGTCCTGCAAATATCTTGGACTCATTCACACTCAATACGTAAAGTCAGCTTTTCTTCTGCTGCCTTAGACTTGTCATCCACCTCTATCTCAAAGCAACAATGGAGTGTCAACAGAAAGAAATTACTGGTCACAGAGTATTTAATGTCATTAATACACTCTCTACAAAAAAAATGTCTTGTACAAGAAATGTAGAGCTTGTAGGGGGAGCATTTTCAAGGAAAACAGAAGAGGGCCTAAAACAGAACCTTGCTGTACTCCTTTGTGAGATGAGAGTACTATGGTAAGATTATCTCATCTTATCAGGGTTTTCAACCTCTTTGTCCATTTCTGCAAATGAATCATTCTTTTCCACGCAAGGATTTGATTTAGAGCTGGCTGAGAACCTGGAAAAAAACCATGGTGTTCTCACTGTCTCTACAACATATATGAATACTTTGGGCACTATAATACTCCCTAGTAGAAAGGAAGAACACTAAACACTGTCTACAAAGCCTTGTAACAGGCTTGCATTCCAGATCATTGTGGCCTAAATTATCTGCTGTTGCACTGGTTCACAAAAAAAAATTATTTGCTTAGACAAAAACATTTTAAGCCTACGAAAAAAGTCCTAAAAATTGAACTGTGTAAAAAAGTTATTTCTCCGAACCAATTTTGTGCTGCATAACAACAAGTGATACTAATGAAACATCTTTATGCAAACAACACATTTCAAGATGGAGCATTATATCACACACAAAAAACAGCAACCTTAGAACTTCTTCAGAAATCATTCCACACTTAACAGTCCCTGACAATAACCACCCACTGTCAAGATTGTTGTAATCAGGATGTGCATAAAACACTAACACTGTCATCATGCAAAATGGATAAGACGACAACATTGTCAGCAGTTTGCATCCAGCGGTTAATTCACCATCTGCTCCACCTGAAGGGTGATAATTAAATAGAAATAGGATGAGACGGGCTGCTTTTCCGAGTAAGAATGAGGCAATATATATGCATAAAACCTTGCAAAGCGTTTTGAAGGTGTTTAAGACTTTCATTAAGCCTGGTGTTATGTCTTAAAAACATGCTGATAAAAGAGCACTGATGGTGTTTGCTTGTTTATAGGTCTCTTTTATGCATCTCATCTGGTTGGTGTTTTTTCTTTTTTTTTTTTGTGCATTTAGTACTGTCGCATTGGTGCACACCTGGGACAAAAGTTTTATGGATGTACCGTTAATTGGATTGTTAGCAACTCCACAAAATTGTGCTTTTAACAGATTATTTTTTAGGGCTCTTGAAAGCATGAACGTGATTGAGTTACATGACAAATGTTCTAGGAACCAGGCCCTGATTCAAGAAGTCTTATCCTTTCTTTTAAAGGTGATAGAGATGTC